CTCTTTGGTCTTGGCCATAGTGGAGTTTGGAGTGTGACTGTTTGAGGTTGTGGACAGGTGTCTTTTATACTGATAACAAGTTCAAACAGGTGACATTAATACAGGTAACGAGTGGAGGACAGAGGAGCCTCTTAAAGAATAAGTTACAGGTCTGTGAGAACCAGAAATCATGCTTGTTTGTAGGTGACCAAATCCTACAATGTGAATTTCTGGATTTTTTTTCCTCAATATTTCTGTCATAGTTGACGTGTACCTATGATGAAAATTACAGGCCTCTTTCATCTTTTTAAGTTGGAGAACTTGCACAATTGGTGGCTGACTAAATACTTTTTTCCCCCACTGTATGTTGGCCCATCTTAGTGATGAGGCACTAGATAAGGTATTGGTGTTGTACAACAGAGTGTGGGAGGAGGGGAAACTACCAGGCAGTTGGAAGGAGGGAGTAGTGGTACCAATCCGGAAGTCCGGGAAATATCCAACGAAACCAACAAGTTATCGTCCAATAGCTTTAACATCACATGTATGTAAGATTATGGAATGTATGATTACGGAGAGGCTAACTTACTTCCTGGAGAGCAGTGGGCGGGGAAGTCTTTATCAGGCAGCTACTTGGTGGATAATGGTACACCGCAGGGGAGCGTGAATTGTCCTCTGTTGTTCTCAATCATGATCAATGATGTTTACTCTCAGGTACAGCCGGATATAGGGAGGTCGTTATTTGCAGATGATGGTGCCTTATGGAAGAGGGGAAGAAATGTGCCATACATAGTCAGGAAGGTACAGGAAGCAATTGATGAGGTAGAGTGGTGGGCATTAATGTGGGGATTCAGGTTCTCTGTAGAGAAATCTCAAACATTGTTCTTTACCAGGAGGAAGGTTTGAGATGAGGTATGCTTGAGGTTATATGGGAGAAACTTGGAGAGGGTGGTGGCCTTCAGGTTCCTTGGGGTATACTTTGATACTAGACTGGCCTGGGCAGAACACATCGAGAGAGTGGTGGGAAAGTGTAAGAAGGTGCTAAATGTGATGCGCTGTCTGATGGGGAAGGAGTTGGGGGCTGGGTGTTCCTCATTGAAGACCATGTATGTTGCATTGATCCAATCTGTAATAGACTATGGAAGTATAGCATATGGTTCGGCAGGCCGGACCTCACTGGAAAGGCTAGATGTCATACAGGGGCAAGGACTCAGAATATGTAGTGGGGCGTTTCGGAGGTCCCCAGTGGCTGCATAACAGGTGGAGATGGGGGACATGCCATTGCAGATTAGGAGACAGCAGCTGGCAATGAAATACTGGGTCAACCTACAAGGACATGGGATGTCTCATCCTGCGAAAGGGATTTTACAGGCATGCTGGGAACATGAGCGAAGACAGAACACAAGCTTTGGGTGGTAATACCCAGGCGAAGGAGATGGGACTGTATGGAAGGGAGTTTAGTCCAACGGTAGTTATTCCTGTAAATCCACCATACTCCCATCTCCAGTAGTTGATCTAGAAGTGTTGAAGAGACTACAGAAAGACAGAGAGGGTGTTGATCCAGCTGATTTCTTTAAGAGACGTCTGGAAACTGTGTATCAGGATTTTGTGGCCATTTACACAGATGGTTCAAAAGATCCAAGGACAGGACGTACTGGGTCAGCATTTGTAGTGCAGAAATGTGGGGTGGAAGTCAGGAAGTCAGGAAATCGTTCTGTACTAACCTGGGATATTTACGTTAAGGATTATGTTTACCAATAGATGACAGTATTGACTCAATACGGGGTTTGCTTTCCGCTATCCGTCGCCGTTTAAATGTCTGACATTTAAACCGTGCTCGAGAAAACCACAGGTAGCGTAATGTATTTCAGCAGATTTCGTGCGTTTCTGTGTGAAAAGACATAAATTTATGTGCTACTTAATTTGTGCGAAAAGACACCAATTTAACCAGTAGGCTACACACAACAACCATAAACGGATAGCCTATTTTCTTTATTATGGCTAATTAAACGTTATGAATATACAGAAATGTTGTCTTTATTTAATAATGTTTATAACATTGTAGTTGTATGCCTATGTACTGTTTGAGATTTTCTGAACATCATTTGTGAGAAAATACACACATTTACGTGCAACTTAATTCGTGGGAAAATTTTTTTTATTAATGCTAACGCTGTTTTCTATGCTTGATTTCGATTAATACTTTGGGATACTGGTGCACTTTTGGTCAGAAAGGCCCCTTTTCCGTGTAGGCAACAGTACACAATTTTCTTCATAATTCATTTAATACATGTTAAAGAGGTTAATGTAAAAATAATGAAATATGTCGGCTTTCACTTATGGCACTTCCAAGGCCTTTCTATTATGGTTATGTCAATCATATTATATACTTAGGCTATTGTAACGCGTTCAACCAGTTAGCAAGTCAGAAATGTCCGTTTCCTAGTACCGACTAGCACTTGAATGCTGTATTATGCCAACTTCACATTCTCGTGGAAAATGGGAAGTTGTAACTCCGACATGATTGTGTTCAAGTGGTTTTGAAGTCGGAACAATTCTTAAACCAATAAGATTGGCAACAACATTTTCACTATTTCTCACTTGTAATTCCTACTTGGAGGGTCATTCAAGTGAAACCTCCCAGTCGGAACTAGGTATTTCCGATAACTCTGATATCACCCTGAACACGACATTAATATGTGTGATCGACAACAGTAGGGTCTGGGTCCCGGCGTGTCCAGTCCCCATACCCATTCCATAGGAGTGAGTGTCAGTAGTCTACTATATGTCCGTGCTATGTGAAGTAAGTATGGTGATTATTATTAAGGTTCTGGTCGTCTGAGATACCAACAAGTAAGGCTATACAACATACAATATCAATAAATATATATTTTCTCCTATTAGTGTATTTGAGTTTGTTCTGTCGTTTCTGGATGATTTAATTGAAATTGCAACCAACTTTCTATGGCTTGTTTTAGATATAGTGATATTTGAGAGATGATTTCATTTCAAATAACTTAAAGTGAGAGGTTGTAATCTGAATAAAGGGGGGAAATGCCATTATTGAACATGTGGTGATTAGAACAAAAGATTTCACTCTTGACTTTGGCGACTATTATTGCGCGGCAGTGTCCTAATGACTGCGCGCAGTGGACTATTGGCATCGTTTGCCATAAGAGGCTGGCATTAGATTAGAACATAAGATTTCACTCTTGACTTTGGCGACTATTATTGCGTGTAAAGGCCGGCAGTGTACTATTGTTTTGGGCGCGCAGTGTATTATTGCGGGCGCACGCAAAGTGTATTGTTTTTTGGCGTGCAGTGTGTTGTTTTGGGTGCGCAGTGTACTGTTTTGGGCACGCGGTCATAAAAAAAAAGAAGCAAAGCATCCCTTCCGATAGCCGACAGAGGAGACCTCCGCAACGGGCCAATCGGGGTGGTGGGGAGATGGTGTCCAATCAGCAGATGCCACTGCCGGCTTTATACATTTCACATGGGCATTTCGAGGCTATACTCCGACTGTCTAAGAAGGAAGCTAGCGCCATGGCCAGAACCAAGCAAACCGCTCGCAAATCCACCCGTGGCAAAGCCTACAGGATGCAGCTCGCCGCCAAGGCTGCGCGCAGGAGAGCCTCCCCGTTACAGGCCCGGCACCGTGTCACAGAGAGATCCGTTGTTACCAAAGCTCCACTGAGCTGCTCATCCGCAATGTGCCCTTCCAGCGCCTGGGGAGAAAAATCGCCCTGTTCTTCAAGACCGACCTGCGCTTCCAGAGCTCCGCCGTGATGGCCCTGCAGGAGGCCAGCGAGGCTTACCTGGTCGGTCTTTTCGAGGACACCAAACTGTGTGCCATCCACGCAAAGAGGGTGAATATCGTGCCCTAGGACATCCAGCTGGCCCGCCTTATTTACAGAGAGCGCGCGTAAATTATGACCTGATCTCCAAAATCCCACCTCAATATTTCCATCAAAAAGGCACAATTGATATATTTATATGTGGTCCTCTGTAGCTCAATTGGTAGAGCATGGCGCTTGTAACGCCAGGGTAGTGGGTTCCATCCCTGGGACCACCCATACGTAAACATGTATGCGCACATGACTGTAAGTCGCTTTGGATAAAAGCGTCTGCTAAATGGCATATTATTATTATATACGCGCACGTCTACATTTCTCACCATGTATGTTGTTAACTAACCTGTCTAAAAGCTACGTATTGCACGTTTTACTTAATCCAAATGGATTATCTACAATAGTCAAAATCGCATGGCCAAATCAGGAAGGCTCCGCGCATGCGTTGCTTTATTCAGCACGGTTGAATGCATTCAGAGTCAGAGGTTGAGGTTGTGTGTCTCTGGCGGGAGGTAAGCTTGGCTTATATACATACAGAGGTGGGTAGAGTAGCCAAAAATTGTACTCAAGTAAAAGTACTGTTACTTCAGAATAATATGACGTAAAAGTAAAAAGTAGTCATCCAAATAATTACTTGAGTAAGAGTAAAAAAGTACTTGGTGAAAAAACGACTCAAGTACTGAGTAACTGTTGAGTTACTTGAGTTAATTTTTTAACATAAGACAACAATCAGACAGGCAAAAATACAAAATAATCATCTTTAGGCAAATTATAGTTCATCCAATCAATAAAATAAATTAAAATGAATTACAAAATAGCTTAAATTAAAATAATTCAGGTAAATTCAAGTACTTATCAAATAAAATAATACTAAAAAATAAATAAGCACAAGTAACACAAATTTCCAAACCTTTATACTTTTTTTTACCAGGCAGAACTAGAATGAGGCAGCCCATAAACTCTCATAAACTGTGTATGTGTGTGTGTCTCCACAGTGACAGAACAACAGATGGAAACACACAAACATTTCATACCAGGCATGCTGAACAGAAAACTGCACACCAGAACGAAGCGTTCAACATAAAATAATCAATAGGTGTTGATTAGGCCTTTGTATTGCATGGCAAGCAACAGTCCTTTTTCTGTGTGCCTAGAAATTAATACTCTGATCTGTGATTAGGCCACACTGCACATCTCACTGAGCAGAGGAAAAGAGCAGCAATACACTTCAACTGAAAAAGCACCAGTCCATGATAGATGGCCAAATAAAACAATATTGCAGGCCTAGTATCCCAGAACACAAATTAAGCTGAATGCATGTTCTCTAAAAGGCATCAGAGGAGAGTGATGTAGTTGTAGATGGGGCATTATGTTTACTTCCAGCTCCAATATCTAACAAGAAAAGTCAGCAAAAAAAAGTCACACTTGTCCCCATCCATGGATGCAAAGAAGTCGTCTTCATCAGAGAGGCCGCTGTTTGCGATGGTGACATCATCCAAGTCGGTGTTGAGGTGATTTCTGATGTAGTCAAGGCCTGTGGGTTTTAGGGCAAGATAAATCGTTTTTCAAACGAATTAAGTCTGCACATTATTCTTACCCTTCTACTGTATAGGCTGTCAAGCTGCTGATGTTTGACATTAAAAGCTACCTGAGCTTCTAACTATATTGCCACCCTGTGGTTTGTCACTGACACACTATAATCCTAAATTACAGTAATATTATACAGAGTTATATAGGTCAATGTCTACTGGTTCACATTTGAATTGATAAACAAGTATATTTACCAGCATTTAAGATGTTCTCCTCTGTGGTCCAGGATGTTCTGAATCTTGGTAGGAGTATTGCTGCTGCAATCAGCTCAGGCTCTTTCATGACATCTCCGAAACGTTTCTGGATCCCTTGCTGCAGGGCGTGAACAAGAGGTGTACACATTTTGCAAGTTGACTCCAACCTCTTCAGCTTGTCCCGCAACTGGTAAGGTGTTGGCAGCAGGAGGCCCATATGCACAGATGATTCCCCTTGGAGGATATTAAGGACCATGGCAACAGGCTTCATCACAGCAGCATACTCGACCAAAAACCCAATTTCAGCTGGATTGAACCTATAAAAGATGTAACGATAAAACAATTACTTATAGCTATTTCTGGTACAATGTCTTTATTATGCATTGTGCATGTTAAATACACAAATAAATAAAAATAAAATAAATTAGTTACATTATTTCATTCAAGTCATCCACAATTGTCACACCACCATGCAAAGAAAACTTAGTTACTTGAGACAAGTGGATTCACCCATTAATCAGCAAGGCTTATTTATTTTTATTATTCTTTTAAAACAAAATATAAATTTTGTCAACTTACATCTTTATCTTTAATGCTGTGCAGACATTGCGAATTGCTTGTTCTCCTTGCTCTCGGTGAATGCGCACAATCCTTTCTACAGCGAGGAACAGGGAGCTCCAGTGTGTCTGATTGGGTCGGAGAAACAGCAGCTTGCATTCACGTTCCACTGTTTCATGAGCCATGGTTGACCTGCTGGTTTTATTCCAAAGAGCATGACATTTTGCAAAAGCAGACCGAGACAGCCTCTTGTAGGTTTCGTTTGCAGCTCCTCCTGTAGCAGTGGCATCAACTGTGGATATAAGATTGAGGAGATGGCATGCACACTTTTGGTGCCTTGGAAGTTGGTACTCAAGGCCTGTGTTGTCATCCAGAATAGCAGACACATCTTGACACTCCACCTCTGACTCACTCTGATCTTCTGTTGCATCATCAAGGGTGGAGTCACTCTCCTCTTGTACATTGATGGCTTCCTCCTTTATTTTTATTTTTTTATTTTTTTTTCACCTTTATTTAACCAGGTAAGCCAGTTGAGAACAGGTTCTCATTTACAACTGCGACCTGGCCAAGATAAAGCAAAGCAGTGCAATAAAAACAACACAGAGTTACATATGGGGTAAAAAACATAAAGTCAAAAATACAACAGAAAATATATATACAGTGTGTGCAAATGTAGCAAGTTATGGAGGTAAGGCAATAAATAGGCTATAGTGCAGAATAATTACAATAGTATTAACACTGGAATGCTAGATGTGCAAGAGATTATGTGCAAATAGAGATACTGGGGTGCAAAAGAGCAAAATAAATAACAATATAGGGATGAGGTAGTTGGGTGGGCTAATTTCAGATGGGCTGTGTACAGGTGCAGTGATCGGTAAGGTGCTCTGACAACTGATGCTTAAAGTTATTGAGGGAGATAAGAGTCTCCAGCTTCAGAGATTTTTGCAATTCGTTCCAGTCATTGGCAGCAGAGAACTTCAGGAAGTTTGAGCCACTGTCTGTTGTCGCCCTGGTCACTTTTTCCCTGATGTGGTACTCAGAATGTATTTCCTCTAATGCAGCAGCACGGACATCAAACGTGTGCGAGCCTTTGACAGGTCTAAAAGCCAATGCAGCGGAGTGCCTCTCCAGTGAGGTGTTGTCTATCCAGTGACAGGTGACACCTAAGTAGCTACGTTGTCTGGCAGACCAGCAGTCTGTTGTGGTAGCAACATAGTTCACAGCACTCAGCTTTTTGATGATTATGCTCTTCTTGTGTTTTGCAGCTTCTTGTATTCTTGTGCATAACGTTTTCCTTGTCATTACTGTTTGAGGTTGCAAGGTTTCTATCAAAGTCTTGAAGGATGGCGTCTCAACCACAGAAAATGGTTGGTTGGCCTCACATACAAAATGTAGCACCAGCTTGTCAAGCGTTGCTTGTGTTACCCGTCCTGGGGCAGCGAAGGCTGTGATTTTTGCATTTTTCACAAGAGTATCACTGGAAGAGGAGGACTTACGCTTTCTGTGGTTCTCTAGTAAGTCTGTGTACTTTGCCAGTTTGTTGGGGAGAACCCTCTGTGGATAAAAAAAAAACTGTAATTTTCATCATACACGTCAACTATGACAGACAAATTGAGAAATTTGTTTCCAGAAAATCACATTGTAGGATTTTTTATGAATTTATTTGCAAATTATGGTGGAAAATAAGTATTTGGTCACCTACAAACAAGCAAGATTTCTGGCTCTCACAGACCTGTAACTTCTTCTTTAAGAGGCTCCCCTGTCCTCCACTCGTTACCTGTATTAATGGCACCTGTTTGAACTTGTTATCAGTATAAAAGACACCTGTCCACAACCTCAAACAGTCACACTCCAAACTCCACTATGGCCAAGACAAAAGAGCTGTCAAAGGAACCAGAAACAAAATTGTAGACCTGCACCAGGCTGGGAAGACTGAATCTGCAATAGGTAAGCAGCTTGTTTTGAAGAAATCAACTGTGGGAGCAATTATTAGGAAATGGAAGACATACAAGACCACTGATAATCTCCCTCGATCTGGGGCTCCACGCAAGATCTCACCCCGTGGGGTCAAAATGATCACAAGAACGGTGAGCAAAAATCCCAGAACCACACGGGGGGACCTAGTGAATGACCTGCAGAGAGCTGGGACCAAAGTAACAAGGCCTACCATCAGTAACACACTACGCCGCCAGGGACTCAAATCCTACAGTGTCAGACGTGTCCCCCTGCACACACACACAGTATCTCACAAAAGTGAGTACACCCCTCACATTTTTGTAAATATTTGAGTATATCTTTTCATGCGACATCACTGAAGAAATGACACTTTGCTACAATGTAAAGTAGTGAGTGTACAGCTTGTATAACAGTGTAAATTTGCTGTCCCCTCAAAATAACACGCCATTAATGTCTAAATCGCTGGCAACAAAAGTGAGTACACCCCTAAGTGAAAATGTCCAAATTGGGCCCAAAGTGTCAATATTTTGTGTGGCCACCATCATTTTCCAGCACTGCCTTAACCCTCTTGGGCATGGAGTTCACCAGAGCTTCACAGGTTGCCACTGGAGTCCTCTTCCACTCCGCCATGACGACATCACGGAGCTGGTGGATGTTAGAGACCTTGCACTCCTTCACCTTCCGTTTGAGGATGCCCCACAGATACTCAATAGGCTTTAGGTCTGGAGACATGCTTGGCCAGTCCATCACCTTTACCCTCAGCTTCTTTAGCAAGGCAGTGGTCGTCTTTGAGGTGTGTTTGGGGTCGTTATCATGTTGGAATACTGCCCTGCGGCTCAGTCTCCGAAGGGAGGGGATCATGCTCTGCTTCAGTATGTCACAGTACATGTTGGCAGTAATGGTTCCCTCAATGAACTGTAGCTCCCCAGTGCCGGCAGCACTCATGCAGCCCCAGACCATGACACTCCCACCACCATGTTTGACTGTAGGCAAGACACTTGTCTTTGTACTCCTCATCTGGTTGCCGCCACACACGCTTGACACCATCTGAACCAAATAAGTTTATCTTGGTCTCATCAGACCACAGGACATGGTTCCAGTAATCCATGTCCTTAGTCTGCTTGTCTTCAGCAAACTGTTTGCGGTCTTTCTTGTGCATCATCTTTAGAAGAGGCTTCCTTCTGGGACGACAGCCATGCAAACCAATTTGGTGCAGTGTATGGTCTGAGCACTGACAGGCTGACCCCCCACCCCTTCAACCGCTGCAGCAATGCTGGCAGCACTCATACGTCTATTTCCCAAAGACAACCTCTGGATATGACGCTGAGCACGTTCACTCAACTTCTTTGGTCGACCATGGTGAGGCCTGTTCTGAGTGGAACCTGTCCTGTTAAACCGCTGTATGGTCTTGGCCACCGTGCTGCAGCTCAGTTTCAGGGTCTTGGCAATCTTCTTATAGCCCAGGCCATCTTTATGTAGAGCAACAATTCTTTTTTTCAGATCCTCAGAGTTCTTTGCCATGAGGTGCCATGTTGAACTTCCAGTGACCAGTATGAGGGAGTGTGAGAGCGATGACACCAAATTTTAACACACCTGCTCCCCATTCACACCTGAGACCTTGTAACACTAATGAGGGAACATTTTCACTTAGGGGTGTACTCACTTTTGTTGCCAGCGGTTTAGACATTAATGGCTGTGTGTTGAGTTATTTTGAGGGGACAGCAAATGTACACTGTTATACAAGCTGTACATTCACTACTCTACAATGTAGCAAAGTGTCATTTCTTCAGTGTTGTCACATGAAAAGATATACTCAAATATTTACAAAAATGTGAGGGGTGTACTCACTTTTGTGAGATACTGTATATATGTGTATATGTTTGGGAGGGAACAGCTATGTGTTTGATATTTTCTAAGAAGTGATATGTGTCCCTAAAATAACTGGGGTGCTTAGTGGAGAGGGGGTTGATATAATTAAGATGTTGTAGGACTCACTGTTGCAGTCAGAAACAATTTCTCTTCCGGGGGGAACCTCAACGGGAACTATCCAGGTGTCTGGTTCTTTGTGTATACACCCACTCAATTGGTTGGCACTTAAAATAGCCTTTGGGGGTTGAGTAGTCAAGTTGAAGCCGCAGTAGCGAATTTACTTGGCTTTGACGGCATTCTCGGTCTTCTTGGGGAGTAGCACCGCCCGGATGTTGGGTCCTCGTCGTTACGGAAGGCCAGCTGCAGGTGACAGGGGATGATGTGAGTCTTCTTGTTTGCACAGGCAGTGTCTCCGGCCAACTCCAGGGTCTCAGCAGTCAGGTATTCAAGCACGGCGGCCAGGTAGACTGGTGCGACAGCGCCCACACGCTCAGCGTAGTTGCCTTTGCGCATCAGCCTGTTCACTACATTCTGATTTTAAAAAATAAGGGCATCTTGTAATCCAGCTTGATTTAAATGTTCATGTAACATTTGTTCCCAACATTGAAAGAATGTTTGTGTTTGTGTTTTTTTTTTTTACAGGAAGATGAAGGGGGTGATGTCCTGCAGGACCTAGCACAACATGTAAGGAAAATCGTTGTGTACTAACCTGGGATATTTATGTTAAGGATTATGTTTGCCAATAGATGTCAGTATTGACTCAATACGGGGTTTACTTTCCGCTATCCCTAGCCGTTTAAATGTCTGACGTATAACCGTGCATGAGAAAGCCACAGGTAGCATAATGTAGTCCCCATACCCATTCCATACGAGTGAGTGTCAGTAGTCTACTACACTGTAAACCCGAATGTTCAAAATAATTAATTGTAATACGTAGTGTAAACTTAAAATGTTCTTAAAAGTTGTACTTACTTAAACATGTTGAGTGCCAGTAGCAATTTTCTTCTTTGAGTTTATTGAACTTATAATAATAATAATAATAATAATAATAATAATATGAACATTTTTCATTTTTATGTAACTGCAACTTAACATATTTTTTTTTTACTTAAAACTATATGGATTAAACATGAATTTATGTCTTATTTTGAAAGAACAAATGAATCAAATCAAGAACGAATTGAGAATAAATCAATTGCATCAGATAGATTTGTATATATATAAAATATCACACACACACACACACACACACACGTGTATATACGTTTATAAATAATTAATTGTTAATAGTAAAGGTTGGCTAGTTAATAAATTACAAAGATGCGCTCACATATTTTATTTTGTAGTATTTGCGTGCACTTCCTCTTCAGGCAGCAGACCGGAGCCGAGGAGAAGAGCAGGAGACCGGAGGGTAACACTCAGCTCTGCACAAATGAGTTGTGAATGTAAGTAGTCAACATAAAACTTGTGTTAGAAATTGCGTAATTCAAATCTGGTATTGGAATAAGAATCAAGAGATCTTCAATCCAAGGTTAATTTATTATATGCAAAATGTATGTATGAAGGTTCGTATACGGGCTCACTGAAAAACCACGCAGGGCCGACAGAGAACTAGAATTATTGTTTACAGATTCTTTCTCAAATACTCTGACAGAAAGCCTCCACCGCTTCTGTTGGCCAACCAGAGCAAAGGACTGAGTGTGGTCCAGACTCCATTCAGCCAATCCGTTGGCGCAAGGGTTGGTCCCAACTCCTCGGCATTCCATTTGTTGCCAGGCATAGTTGCTATGATAATAACCTGTGGACTCAGCACCTAAAAGACACCATTCCACTGTACTCCATGTTCAAGGACAGTTTCACAGACTACAAAGAGAGAGTGTTCGCATCTGCAAGAAACACAAGTCTTATCTGTCCTACCCCCAACGTTCCCCACATGAATAACAGCCTGTTATGTGAAACAATCCATATCAGTACAGTGCTCCTCATTAATGCATTCCTTCCAAGCTATTCATCACATATAGATCCAATTATGAGAAAAATAAAACCCAACACTTGCTTGAATGTTTGTATGTTTGTTTCTGGAGGTTCAACGTGTTTGTAAGACGGACAAAGTGAGTCACGTTAGCAATGTAAAACGGTTATCTGTTAGGTTAGCAAGCTAACATGCAAAGTCATCCCGCCAGTTAGCTAGCTGTATAGGCTACATGGCTAGGCTAATGTAGTTGTAAAAAACTGGTTGAGCCCAACGTGCAGCGGTGGATAGTAAGGTATCATGTACTGCTCAATAGAAACTTGAAATCTGTGCTGGAGCTGCGTCAGTGTTGTGAGTGAAAGCAGAAGCTAACTCCACGTGTTGTGACTTAGGCTAACTGAAAGCTATTCTCTGCAAGTTGAATTAGCTGGTTACTTTTTTTGTATTAATATTTTTGTTATTGCTACGATAAGAATTTATGGATGCTACCAGCCCAACGTTACCTAACTTTGACTTATTTGTGTAATAAAATGTTTTGAATAGTCTAACAGGCATTTTACACATCTACTTTGTTTTAATCAATGTTGGTGTAGCTATATTGTTGTACACTTTTAGTATGAGGAATATGACTGCAGTTTTTGATAGTTCTGATGGAGGTTTAAACTTCATGACAGGTGTCCTGTAAAATAATATTTTTTTGTGTGTTTTCAGGTTGCTGCAACAAATATGACTTGGCACTGCAGAGTTGTCCTCTTATAAGCAAAGGAAGACATTTATAGAGCACAACTATCCATTGGTAATGCCAGTAGAGTACCATTTAGAAGCACCTGGTCATACCATCATGTATGTTCCAATCCTTCAAATGATTCAGGAGCTGTTTAAAATTCACAGATATCCTGAGCAAAATCAGAGAACCAAGCACTGAGCCTGGTTATTATGTGTCATATCGTGATGGCTCTCATTTCCAGGAAAATGAGTTACTCTCAACAGAAGATCTACACCTGGCAATACAGCTATATATTGACGATCTTGAAATCACTAACCCTCTCGGCACATCAGTCACTTGAGCACTTCCACCCTATCACAGGTTTTCCTCCAGATCTACTACACAATCTTTTGGAAGGAATCGTTCCAGTTGAACTTGCACTTTGCATTAGAGAAATGATTCGGCTTGAGCACTTCACTTTAGAGTATTTGAACCAAAGGATCACATCATTCCCATATCAGCACACTGATAAAGTAAATAAACCTCATCCAGTTCCCAAAACATTCATGACCCGGAAAACAATTGGAGGCAACGGGCATGAAAATGCCACGCTGCTCAGACTACTTCCGTTACTTGTAGGCAGTAAAGTACCAGAGGGTAATGTTGCATGGGAGGTTTTGATGGACTTGAAAGAGTTGATGGAATTAGCATTGTGCCCATCATTTTCTGATGAAACATTGGACTATTTTGTTTGCAAAATCAGTGACCACAGACAGATCCTACAAGAGGCTTTCCCTGAGTTTAGGCTTCGTCCTAAACATCACTATGTGGAGCATTACCCCACCTTAGTTAAGTGTTTTGGGTCCCTGGTGCATGTTTGGACCATGCGATTTGAAGCTAAACATCGCTTCTTCAAGAGAGTGGTGCATGATGCTCAAAACTTCAAAAATGTCTTGAAGACACTGGCAATCAGACACCAACACATGATGGCATATCACCTTGGTTCACCATAGTTTTTCAAACCAAAAATGCAAACATCCAGGGTTGACTCTGTTTTGGTTTCAGCTCTACCAGAAGTAGCTCAGGCTCACATTAGAGGACAAACAACTAGTGACACTGTCTATCGTACATCAAAGGTGACTATTGATGGCACAGACTATACCAGTGGCATGTTTGTGTCAGTTGGAATCAGTGGGGGACTGTCAAAATTTTGCAGACTAACACAGATCTACCTTGTGAATCACAATGTTTATTTTCTCTGTTGTGATTATGACTCCTGGTATGTAGAGCATCTTCGATCCTATGAGCTGTCAGCCATACAGGGAAGCCTGTCTATCCACCTGCAATCTGACTTCAATGATACAATCCCACTCTCTGCATACAAGATTGATGGCTTGCTGCTGTTGACTCCCAAGAGGTTCATACAAGTGAGACAAAATTAAGACCACTCTATGGTAAGTAATTCTTCATAAAATTAATTGTTCATTTATTGGAAAATGTGCTCAATATAATCAATCATTATATAAATCAACAAACCTGCAAACAACAAACCTGCCTGATAAGTTTTGGAGACATGCAGTGTTTGTTTTGCCATACATTCATTATGTCCGCCAGGGCCTCTTAGAGATGGGAATGCTGAATTTGAAAAGAATGAGAGACCTCTTCAGTTGTCAAGGGACCAAAAGCACAATATTTTAGACAAACTGGCATCTACCATATATGGTTTTAAGGCTTACCCCAGTGATAAAGAGATAGCAATGGTGGCTGAAGCTCTTGTGAGGAAACACCCCTGTTTAAAAGAAGCAGGATCTGACAATGGATGGAATGGCTGGAAGAACAGCATCAAGTTTAAAATGGGCAATTACAGGACCAAGATGAGAAGGGCTGGATGTCAGGAGGTCGCTGTAAATGCTGGGAAAATAAGCCGAAAAAACCCTGAGAATGAACCTTCACACTCCAACATCAAAAGGCCTAAGTGTGCAGAGGTCAACTTTCTGCCTAACTTTCCTCAAGGAGAGGATCCCTCAAGCCTTGACCTTTTGAGGCAGGCTATTGTTGAGGAAGTAAAGAAGACTGAGAGAAACCTACCCCTTATTAGTAAGATGATGCAGAACACGTTTGACTTGCGACGACAGACTATTGTAATGTCCTGCCCACCGGTGAAAGAGCTAATGGACCTCTGGCCTGCTCTTCATATGCAGTCTGAGGTAAAATCATCATCAATTTAATAAATAAATTCATTTTGTAGGTTATTTTTTCTGTTTTTATCTTTGCTACTGTATGTCACATTGTGTGTAATGTTGCCTAATTTCATTCATCCTAAAATAAATAATTGCTGTTACTGTCCTTTCCTCAATGGAGGTATATGCAGAGTTCCAACGGATAACTAACCAGAATCTACCTAACACTTTCTATGCCGAGCTTGATCGCCACACTCCTCGTTTGATGGCCTTATTTAGACAGAAAGCTTCCAAAACTGAAAAGACTGCAGATGCTTTGGCAAACATTTTCAAAGTCCATGATACACAGGTGATTATACATTTCACAGGTAGTCTTAGAGTAATGTTGGGAGTTTAATGCTTCAAATAAGCTTTTTAATTCCACAATTGCACCAGTCAGCAGGTTATTAGTGGATTTATGTGCAGATATTGGCAATTAATTAATTAATTAATTAATAATTAGTTGGGACTGTTTGTCATTGGGTTTGATAAGTAAACTTGTCACAACACTATTTTAATCTTCTTAGGAATTACATGATGTCCACACAAGGCTGTTCTCCATGCCCTTCCTGATTATCTACTAGAGGAAGTCTCTGGATTTTTCAGAACATGTGTG